TAACACAGTTCCGTTCACCGACTCTTAAATCGTTCCTCGGCTCGCTCCCCAGCGTCAAAATTATCGAATCGTTAAAAAGCTGCTGTTGTTCGATTTGTATGGAGGAATTCGAAGTTGATTCGGAAGCGAGTGAATTGCCTTGTAAGCACTTTTTTCATAATGACTGTATTGTTCCTTGGCTTAATCGGAGTAATACATGTCCACTTTGCCGGCATAAGTTGCCTCGAGAAGATCAAGAAGAAATTGATAGAGAAACTGAGGAGAATCGTGTTGTTCTACAATTCGTGCATTCCTTAGAATCGAGGGAAGTTAGTGATGATGATGATGATGCTGAGTTTAGGGGATGGGATCTTGAGGAAATGCACGACGAAGATGGGGATACTCTGATGGTTGATGCATGATGATATCAAAGGAGGAACGTGTATACCTGTAAATATTCTCTTTTTTGGGTATGATTTTATCTATAATGGAATTATTATATCTTGAAAATGAATGTGTTCTTATTTTGCCAAAAAGGATTTAATTTTTAGTAGGAAATAAAGTTTATATGTAATACAGTTGATCTCTCTTATATTGATGAAGTATCAAAGTTCAAACTGCGAATTAATTTAATGCATTTGAATTTTTGAATGTTGTGAAAAAAGTTATATAGAATAGGAATGACGCTGCCACATGAGCAGGAGGTCACGAGTTCGAGCCGTAGAAATAGCTTCTAGCAGAAATGCAGGGTGAGACTGCGTACAATGGACCCTTTGTGGTCCGGTCTTTCCCCGGACCCCGCGCATAGCGGGAGCTTAGTGCTCCGGGCTGCCCTTTTTAGAATAGGAATGACGTCAAACATTTTGAGTGTTCCAATAAAAATATTATCATATAATTGTGATGGAGGGAGTACATCAGTTTTGGTGTTTATCTAACAAAGCTAGAAGTATGTCAGGGAAAGGAATCGTGACAAGCCCCTAGTGCTTGTTCAATGGTAAGGACACAACACGTGATCTGAGTTAGGTGCATGGCGGGGGTTTGAACCTGGCCGCAGACAAAGCCTTGTGTTTAAGTTGGGATGTTTCACTAGTTTTGAAATTGTGCATCTGACTTAAGTTGGGCAAGAAGCGCACAGGATTTCTTCTGATACGAAAAAAGAAAAAGAAGATCATGACAACAACAAATGTAAATTAAGTTATTGCATGTTGATAAAGGATGAAGTCACTTGTTTTTAAGTATTTTAGTAGATTTGAGCCTAAATATGCTAACAGTTGTATCTGTGACGGATCAACTCCTGGATTCATGAACTGTTTTTCATCATGCACCATTGCACCTAGGATTTCAAATATTATTTTCTGCTTCTATAAATGTGGAAGGACAATGCTTTTTTATATTTTTTTCTCTTCCGGACATTCTCAAGTACAGCTTCTACCTTCTTTTATTTTTATGTTATATTAAACTTCTTATGGCTTGTATAATGTTGGCCTGAGATGATTTAAATGGAGAAATGCGGTAAGTGGACATTCATATCGCCGATCCAACTTGTTTGGTATTGAGGCGTAGTTGTATTAAACTTCTTGTAGCTTGTTTTTGCTGATTCACTTGTTTCAGCTTTGTATATTGTATCTCTTTGACAGGAAAGTTATGTGTCAGGGTAGCCAGTGACTTTTATTTGCTCACGTAGGCAGTGGGATCTTAGTCGGTCTTTTCACCATTTGCTGTCCAGCATTAACTGTACTCATCATGCAGGTGAGTGATTTTTCGCCAACACCAGGCTGGTCTCTTTTCCTCGTTTTCTCCATATATGTAAACTTATACTCTCCCTGAAAACATGAACTTCTTCAGGCCAAAGGCTTAAGATTCAAGAATATGGTAACCTATGGAGCTACGCTCAGATTAGCTATATATGGAATCGATATCCTGGATTTACTTTTCTGCCTTGTGATCACTCTTTTGAGTTCTATCTTGCTATGTTGCTTTTGATCATTAGGGTTTCCTTGTAGATCTGTTAGTTATTAGCTCAGGCCATTTATTAGGGTTCTACTAGTTGTCACTCGAAATTAAACCATCTTTTGGAAGCAGTCAGGATGAAAGGTCCATAGTCAGTTATATCTTCTTTTTTTTTTGTTTTCTTTATAAAGTGCATGATGAAGTCATTTTTCAGGAAAATGTTTTGCATAAGGAAGTCATTATTACCCAAGGAAAACATCTTCCATCAAAAGGGGGAAATTGACTTCCATCACTTATGGGCGGAAATCATTTTTCATTACAACTATTTTAACTCTAACTTCATATCACTTGCTTCTACTGACAGAGACATTATTATTAATCTTTTAGTCCTCCACTCTCCAATTTGCTAATATTATTATTAATCTGTAAATTTTAATATACTTTGTTTTTGAAAATTATCTTCTGCATGTCAACCAAGTAAAGCAATTTTCTAGGAAAAGATTTTTCATGAAAAACAATTCTTTAGGAACACAATTTCAATGGAAAATGACTTCCGTCATTCCAAACACGCTTGAAAAGTAGCTCTTTTGCACCGAAAGAAAACTGAGATTGTTGCTCTTGCATATTTGCTTAAGGTCCATCATGTTGTGTTGTGGTTGTAATGGCAAAGGGTTCTAGCTCTCTCGAGTCATATAGTATTCCATAGGGTGATATTTCGACATGTTTTGTGGTCGCAGTTGTAATGGTAAGGATTCTACTTTGCCAAGTCATATAGTTCTGCCACTGATTGATGATTTTAGCTTTGAAGTGCGTCATAATCTTACCATTAGCTTTTAGGGGCTTGGGGCAGGTGTGGATTCAGGATTTCAAGAAGATGGGCGCACTATTACATATAGGTGAATTCAGGATTTAAATTTGACGGGGTTCAACCTTTAGGTTTTTACCATTAAATCCATTATATTTAGAAATTATGGGTTCAAAATTTAAAATCGTAGTAATTTTTCATAGATATATAGCTATACTCCATGTCGAAAATATTGAATTCAGTTAAATCCGCCCGTTGACTTTATGCTGCATCCTCTACTATTACTAGTTTTAACATAAACATTTGGTTTAATTGATTATAAAATTTTACAGTGACAAAAGAACTAGAATTTCAATGTTTCGGACTTAGGGATTTTGAAAAAATAAAACAAAGAAAAAGAAAAGACAAGAGAAGAAGCAGGCATGGGAATTGAACCTTTGAGCACATTATTAGAGGTGCACATAACCATTGCACCATATGACTCCTTGACCTTGGGTACACACATATATTTACGTAAAATTTGAAGAGATATAGTAGTGTTATACATGGTTTAATTAGGGAGGGGAGCATATGTGCATGTGAACCCACACCCTCCACATGGATCTGCCCCTTCTTTGGCGGTGGGGTGGGTGGTGGTGGTTCTGTTATTCAACCTATCATTCATTTCGGCTAGTTTCCACAATACCAGGCAATTATGCAAGAGTTGCCTCTGATGTTATGCTGGTTGAGCTACTATTCATTGTTACTCTTTGTTGATAACATCTAAACCATGGTTATATGGTAAATTGTCCACATTAATTTGGGAGCTGCAAAGGAATAAGTGTAGTCTGGTTCTATAAATTTAATTTACAAGGGCTTAAAATTTGATCACCATGTAAAAATTATAATCTTACTATCAATTTTACAGAGTCTTTTGATGCTTTCATATGGTTGAAGTTAGAGAAAACTAGTTCTTATTTTGTTGGAGTATTCAGAAATAAATTATGACTAGATTTCGGGAAGGTATGAGTATCCTTTGATTGGAACACGTCAATTCCTCCTTAAGTGATAGAAGAATTAATCAAAGTAAGGAGGGGAGAAAATTCCTCTGTACGAGTGTTTATAAACAATACTTAAGAAATACAACTTGAAAATTTTATGTGGTAGATTTGAAGGAGATCTCATATCAATTTGATAATGGCAATGAGTGTCTTATTCGGCACTATATCACAATTCATTCATTCTCGAATAGAATTCTTCGTGAAAGGTGGCATTGGACATATATCAGTGGCTGGAATCTTACATCCGAGCGAGTGTATTAGCAAGTAAGCAGTATGTTGCATGACTCATACTATTGATTTTATGTGACGTCTATTCTAGAGTGATCAGTCCAGTCCCATATGAGAACAAATGGCTTAATGTGGATAACTGAACAATACGTTCTCCTGAAGATATGCAGAAGAGGAGAGTTGGATAAACAACTAAGAAGTGCACTGCATTTGCAAAATTCCATCAAAAAGCATAGTAGTACGTAGATTGTGTGGAAAGAATGGAGTGGTAGATCTAACTTAATTCATGATTGCAGGTCATTGATTAGCCAGTTGGAGACCCGCAGCTTGATCATATCTACAGGGAACAAAATTGAGTGACAGATGTATTGGCAAAGAATGGAACTATGATGCATAGTAATATCAACATTTTGGAAGTTCCTCCTTTGTATGTTTTGGTTATTTTGGAGGCAAACAAACGAGGAACTCTGTATATATGCTAGGAGACTACCATGAAACTGTAATATAATGCGTGTGCTTCAACAAGCATCACCTTTGTACCAAACTTTTGTTATTGTTAATAATAATAATAATATCCTTATAGCCAAAAAATGAAAAAAGCGTATGGAAAGAAGATATCAAGGACATAATTTTAATTGAATATGGAGATTGAACACTTTGAACAAGATAAAATGCCTTTTCCTCTTTACTTTCTATATTCTCTATGAGATGGAGTACTTGGGACCCTCTTTCCTTCGAGCAAAGGGTGCCTAACCTGAAAGAGGAGATAGGGTTTTCCTTGATATGAAAATGCGTATCCACCTTAAAAGCGAGAGCTTGAGGCGGTGAGAAAGGAGAATCAACAAAATAGGATGCTCTGTCTCAACTAACTGGAGTAGAAAGATTCCAAATTTCTTTTGGATGTCCTCTCATACTAGTATACCAACAGCTCAATATCTTTTTGATAGAGTATCATCAATAGCCAACCTGTCAAGTATTAGCCAGGATTTCAAGCTTATGGGTTTGAGATTCTAATCCTTTTAAGTTATTAGTTTTTAAATTAATACTTTGTATATATTTAATAAAATTTTAAGACAAATACATGATTTGAACCAAAGCTACTGGGTTTGGCCGAACCGTAGCCGACACTATGGGCCTTTGCTGAAATGTAAGGTGGCTATAGATTTCTGGAGTGAAATGCATTATACTCCAAAAAAAACTTTGAGAACCAATATCACCATATGGCTTGCTTCATGTGGCTGAAAGATGAGAGCAACTCTAATCATGGTAAACAGTTATCTCAATTGGCAGGATGTTTTTCAATTTGGAGTATGTCACCTATAGTTAAATAGGAATAACGAAAACTTCAAGAATAATGATATTTCTTATTTGTCATACCTTCAGAAAAGCCATAGAATATAAAAATGCTGACAGGTCAAAAAGAGTGAAAGACAAGCTAGACACAAGCAACGGAGCTAGAGGTTGATCCAGTATTTAAACTCTATAGGTTCAACCTTTAAGATACTAATATTAGTATCTTTTTGACCACAAAAAAAAAAAAAGACATTGCATACCTCTCCAGTTCGCTCATTACTTTTTTTTTAAAAAAAAAATTATAATTCTCATCATTGAGTTCTTAATTAGAAAAGAATTTCTGTTTATGTTCTTATATTACAGATTTTTATTGAAGGGATGGGAATTCTTTAACAGATATAAGACATGATGGACTTATTAGCTGTGATGAAAACTGGCTGGTTTATGATTAGATTGGGGAGTTAGCACTTTTGGTTCTTCTTTTGTTTTCTGTCCCGTAGAGATATCATGTTCTGCTGTTGAATATGAAAAAGAATCAGTAGGAACTATAACTTTAGTATTTGATCGAGATAGTGGTGAGTGAATTAGATATCTTAGAAATATTGTATTGTGTCAACGACCAAAACCACTAAGGAAAAGAAACAATTGGGAGTTCGGTTTAAGTGCAAACAAGTTTTTATTAACAGTTTAATTTCTATATAGCTGGGTGTGTTTTTGTACGAAGGGAAATATTTTCCGGAAGAAATTTTGTCTCACTATATATCCAACACTCTTTGTAACTTAGAAACTATCTCATATGAACACATAAGCGAAGAAAGTCGTCTTTCCCCTTTTAATGAAGAATTTATTTTCAAAACTTTGTGTTTGGTTTCAAGAAAATGACTTTATATCTGGAATTTGCAGATGAAACATATTCCTATGGCAGTAAAAAGATAGTTATGACTGTTAGCCGTTAAACTGCTAGCAGACATGGTGAAACACACACACACATATATATATATATATATATATATATATATATATATATATATATATATATATAAAATACCATTCATTCAATGATATCACCCCTTGTGATGATGAGAGGTCTGAAGGGACCCCTACCATGTATATATATAAAACAAAAAATCAAGTATAAAGGAGGGGGATATGGACCTTACCTCCAAGCCTCTGATAGGTAACACCGTACTAATTGATTAACTAAGTAGTTGTAACCAATTGGTGCCAAGAAACTAGATAAAAGTACCTTAGATTCTAAGGGGATTTTTTTCATACCTGTGCTGATAAGAGGTAACAAATGCTCAATAGTAAGTATGTGCAAACTGACCCGAATACCACGATTATAAAAATGGCACTAGCAGCCTCACTTACAAGCCATAAAATATGTTACTCATGACTATGAGACATCTTTCACTAGAGAAAAAACGAATTTTGCTAACCTATGACTACAAGTATTACACTTCCTATATATCAATATCTATAAACGAAAAGATCGGACTGCTTTAGGTGATTTATTCCCATATGTTCAAGCTTTGATGAACATAGTGACCTGGTACCTTACTGGTGGAAGATGGTACGTGTCTCGTGAAATTAGTTAAAATACACGCAAGTTAGGCCGGACACCACAATTAAGAAAAAAGTACCTAGAGCTAGCAGCATTGATATGTTTTCACTAGAAACATGACGAATTTTGCTAGCCTATGACTACATATTACGCTTCCTACCAAACAACAACTCAGTATAATCCCAATAGTGGGATCTGGAGAGGGTAGTGTGTACGTAGACCTTACCCCTACCCTGGGGTAGAGAGGTTGTTTCCGATAGACCCTCGGCTCTCTCCCTCCAAGAACTTCCCTCCTTTCTCTTGGGGTGACTCGAACTCACAACCTCTTGGTTGGAAGTAGAGGGTGCTCACCACTAGAGCAACCCACTCTTGTCGCTTCCTACCAATATACATAAAAAGGAATTAACAACATCCAGATAATGTTTAAGATGCCAAATATCTTCACTACCTGTATTTATACACGTACAAGAAGTCATTCTTCTATTGAGCATTTGAATTACATTTTTAACATCCGACATAATATAAAATTTCTTCCAGCCTTGCTATTTTGGGGGTGGTGATTGGGGTGGGTGGGTGGTTCAGAAAAACCAAAAAATAAATAAATTGAAAATATAAAAAAAAAGATTTTTTTTTTTTGCGGGAGGTGGGTGGTGCAAAAAAATTTTTCCAAATTATTTTGTGCAACCAAACAGTGGAAAATGGGGTAATACCAAACATACCCTAAAATTTAAATACCTTAATTCTCATTTTTAAACTTAGATACAAAAATTAATGATGTGGCAACTAAGTAAATTTTTAGATAAGTTGGGTTGAAATACCTTTATTTTGGGGTGAGCTTCATGAGTTGTATTTAGGCTACTTCATTGGTCAGAATGAGTTATAAAAAATAATGAGTTAACTTGGGCTCAACCCAAATAGACCCATGAGCTAAAATGTTGTAGCCCAACTCATTAATCTCTGGGCGGGTTGGATGAGTTTGGGCTCAAATTGCCACCCCTAGTCCACACCAACATATTAAGTTACCACGTACAAATATCTCCACAATTAAATCTTTTTTATAAGATAATCACAAGTAAATCTCACCAATAATACAAAAGGCTATTAACTTTCTACAAAAGGTTAATATACTAATTGAATAAAAACTTTTTACAGTGTCAATATACAAAGCTTAAATCCTTGACTAAAAATCAACACATTCTAATAATAACCACAGGATGCGTAAAAGCTACAAAAATAGTAAAAAGAAGTTCTGAGGTTATGTAAGATTGCGAACCAGTGGAGAGAATTCATAGGAGGCCATTGCATTATTCACCTTATATAATCATGCCTTTTAATGAATGTTTGACCAAATCTGGACCTACCAAATGCTTTTCTATTTCAAATAAGTTTTTTTTTATTATTACATGCTTTGAACTCTATGTATATGTACCATTAATATACCAATTTAATGCTCTTTGGACTGCACAATTCAACCTTCTGCTTACAGAGCAAACTTGTAAAAACATAAGCTCGCTTGCAACTTTTACATTTTAAACTGTTGCGTATAAAAAGTTAAACTCTTACTGATATGGCTAAAAAGTCAAAGTATAGAAGGAACATGTACTCTAAAAATGGTTGTTAAGTGATTATAACTAAAAAATGTTTTAAACGCAATTCAGACGTTTTACACTCATCCAAGTGTAATGTATTTTCTAATAAACATGAAATATCAACCTATGTAATATATATTAGTTCAATTTTCATAAGCGGAAGCAGTGACGAAACTAAGAATTATCAATATATGTTATAAACCTCTAGACCCTAATATTTTAATTACCTATATAGGTAGGTAGTGCAATTTTCCCACAATTGACCACCTTTTAAGACATGTAGCTTCACCCTGAGCAGAAGGCTCATTTTTGTAGCTTGATCTCGGTGCCTTTGTATGGCACTTTAAATTAATTTAGTCTAGATGAACTTGCTTATATTACCAATTTCAAGCGTGAATAAAGAAGGAATATTGTAATAGTCCGACGTAAAACATGTCTTTCCGTGATGAATCCTTTTAATATGACATTTTGCAAGTTGCAACTAATTGAGAATATTGGTACGGACTACGGGGGTTACGATGAATGATATGTTGGACAATTATGAAATTATAATTTTTGAAGTTAGTTCAAATATCATATGTTGGAGAAAGAAGATAAAGAAATTATGAAATTGACATTTTGACTCCATAACGTAAAAGGTGGAGAACATTTTTGACAAATCAGCCCATCAAGGCACATTGTTTTACAAATCAGCCCATCAAGTACCTATATATAGAGCTCATACCCCACCCCTTAAATCTCAAAACATGCAATTTTGAGACAAAAACAAATATATAGAATTTGCATGCATATATTTCTTCTTTCTATCTTTAGATCTTATAAACTTTCTATATCAATCTCCTATCCTCGTCAATTAAAATGGCAGATTCACCACCATCATTACCAACAACAAGAAAAATTCTATTTCCACCACCACCATTAAAGATAAGGGTAAATAGCCCTTCAATGTCAGAGTTGAAGAAAAGTCTATTTTCACCTAATTCATTGAGAACTCCAACAATTAGGACACCAACATCCAAGTCTCAAAAATCCATGTTGTTGGCTTATGTTTTCACTTTCTGTTTTGTTACATGTGCTATCTTTTTTGTCTTCAATAATCCTTCTATCAATCATTCTTTCAAGAAAGTTCTGAATAAGAGATCACA